TGTTGTTGATTGTAAAGCCGGCCTGGACCTCGGTCGTTTTGCTAAGTGATATTATTATTATTTATTTATTAAGCAGGAATTAAGGATATTTTCCTTTGATTGGTACTTATGACCGAGCCGAGCGCACGTGCGGAGAACGATCCCGACGACGGCATCGGTGACGACGGCGCGACTTCGTGAGGTGAACGGGAAGTGTAGGATGGCGCACAGGGCAATTATCGCACGGTAAGAGCAAGCCGGCGTTGGCGCTGGGAGCCGCACAGCCGTTTTGTTGGGCCAAAGCGCCGCACCGCACCCCCTTGTATGGTACTCTGCGGGCGCTGGTCTCAGGCTTGGGCATAGCCCTATAGGTTACGGCATCGAGCTATTGCTGCGGAGGTTCTGGGGTCGAGGTCGGCGGGCGTCGGTGCAACAACTGCAGCAGAGCGTGCGGAGGAAACCGAGGGGTTGAGGGTCGATGGGCTATCCCCCTCTGGTTTTTGTTGACAGAAGTAGCGGCGGGGCCGATCCATAGGACCGGTGGGGCTTTAACAGCCCCCACACCATGCATAGGTGCCATAAATTATGATATTTTATGTCTTTTATTTTTTGTTCTTATTTATTTATCTATTTGTTTTTTTTTCTTTTATTGTTAATGCGCGGCCCCGCTTTGACCCGGAGCGCGGTACCGTGGGTGTAGCAGGCACCCAAGAACCTAGCTCACTGGGTGCACCGTTGAACTTTTGAAATACTGATCGCGTTCAAACCCAGATGGTGGGCTTTGATGAGCAAAAACCAAATATTCCGATTTAACTGAGGGCCTGGAGCTGCATCTTTATTAAGTGAAAAAGACATGTTGGTATCAGGCTTGGGCTTAGCCCTATAGGTTAGAGCATTGGACTGGTACGCAGCAGGCGCAGGGATCGAGGCCAACAACATGTGGCCAAAGAGCGAAGGAGTGCGACAGAAAGGCTTGAGGGGTTGATGGGCCTGTGGGACTATCCCCCTCGCCTTTTGCCGATAGACGTAATGATGGGCCCGACCCGCGGCACTGGCGAGGTGCCAGCAGCTCCCCTGTTCCTGTCTTAATATTTATCTTGCGTTATTTATTTTATTTTTTCTTTTTATCTTAGTTTTATTTTACTTCATTATTTTTATTTTTACTTTTTCCCACGGCTATTGGCGGCCCCGTCCTAATTTGGGGCGCGATACCGTGTCAATGACTGAGAAGCACTAAGAACCGGGGGGGGGGAAGGTGGAAGGAAGGTAGTTTTGCATACGTTTGAAATGGTCAACCTAAGCCTGAGCATTGTTTCTACTGTGAATGGCTTAGGGTTATGTTTACTTGACTGTTTTCTAAAGGACCAGACATTGTTTCTACTGTGAATGACCTTGTTGCTATGTTTTATTTAGTTGTTTTCTGGAGGACCAGGCATTGTTTCTACTGTGAATGGCTTGTTTACTCTAGTTAACTCTGAGGGTTTG